CCTGCCTCCTCAATACTACCTGTCCGTCCACCTATCTTTGTATCATCTGTAAACTTAGCCAGAATGCCCTCAGTTCCTTCATCTAGATCATTAATATATAAAGTGAAAAATTGTGGTCTCAACACTGACCCTTGCGGAATACCACTTGTCACTGGCTGCCATCCTGAGAAAGATCCTTTTAACCCCACTCTCTGCTTTCTGCCAGAGAGCCAATCTTCTATCCATGCTAGCACCTTGCCTCTAATGCCATGGGCCCTTATCGTACTCAGCAACCTCCTGTGCAGCACCTTGTCAAAGGCCTTCTTGAAGTCCAGGTAGATAACATCCATTGGCTCTCCTTGGTCTACCCTGCTTGTTACTTCCTTAAAGATTTGTCAGGTATGATCTCCCCTTGATGAAACCATGCTGACTTTGCCCTATTTTACCATGCACTCCTAAGTATTCAGAAATCTCATCCTTCACAATGGACTCCAAAATCTGACCCACGACTGAGGTTAGGCTAATTGGCCTGTAATTATTCATCTTTTGCCTTACTCCCATTTTAAACAGGACAGTCATGTTAGTGATTTTCCAGTCCTCTGGCACCCTCCCTGACTCTAGCGATTCCTGAAAAATCACCACTAACACCTCCACTATCTCATCAGCTATCTCCTAAAGAACTCTGGGGTGTAGCCTATCTGATCCAGGGAATTTATCCACCTTCAGGCCATTCAGTTTTTCTAGCACCTTCTCCTTGGTAATTGCCACCATACTGAGCTCTGCCCCTGACTCTCTCGAATTTTTGGGATATTACTCATGTCTTCCACTGCGAAGTCTGATGCAAAGTAATTATTCAGTTCCCCAGACATTTCCTTGTTCCTCACTACTATATCTCCAGCGTCATTTTCCAGAGGTCCAATGTCCACTTTTGCCTCTCTTTTGCACTTTATACATCTAAAGAAACTCTTACAGTCCTCCTTTATATTACTGGCTAGCTTACCCTCATATTTAATCTTCTTCCTCCTTATTTTTTTTTGTTACCTTTTGTTGTCTTTGTAAGTTTCCCAATCCTCTGGCTTCCCACTGCCCTTTGCCACATTATATGTTTTCTCTTTTGTTTTTATGCTATCCCTGACTTCCCTAGTCAACCATGGTTGCCTCATCCTCCTTGTACCATGCTTCTTTTTCCTAGGGATCAATTTTTGCTGAAATATTCCTAGAAACTCCTGCCATTGCTGTTCCACTGTCTTTCCTGCTAGGCTCCTCTCCCAGTCAATTCTGCCCAGCTCCTCTCTCATGACTCTGTAGTTGCCTTTACTCAACTGTAATACTGTTATATCTGATTCCACCTTCTCCCTCTCGAATTGCAGTGTAAATTCTATAATGTTATGGTCACTACCTCCTAAGCGTTCCTTTACCTAAAGCTCCCTTATCAAGTCTGCCTCATTGCACATCACTAAATCCAGAATTGCAGGTTCCCTAGTGGGATCCACCACAAGCTGCTCCAAAAAGCCATCTCATGGAAGTTACACAAATTCCCTTTCTTGTGATCCACTACCAACTTGATTTTCCCAGTCCACGTGCATATTGAAATCTCCCATGATCACTGTAACTTTGTCTTTCTTACACACCTTTTCTATCTCCTGATGTATCCTGCACCCCAGCTCCTGACTACTGTTTGGAGGCCTGTACATAACTCCAACTATCTCTTTTTTACCTTTGCAGTTCATCAACTCTACCCACACAGATTCTACATCATCTGACCCCGCATCATTTCTTGCTATTGATTTAATTTAATTTCTCACTAATTAGGCAATCCTACCCCGCCTCTGCCGACCTGCCTATCTTTTTGATAAGATTCTTGGATATTCAGCTCCCAATCCTGATCCCCTTGAAGCCATGTCTCCATGATGCCCACCATGTCATATCTGCCAATTTCGATCTGAGCCACAAGCTCATTTACCTTATTTCTTATACTGTGTGCATTCGGATATAACACCTGTATTAACCTTCCCACCTGTCATTGTCACTTGTTTATCCAGTGTGCTTGAAGTTTGATTCCTAACCCTTTCCAAACACTCTGTCCTATTTGTGTCTGTGCTGGTGACTTTAGTAACCTCTCCTGAGTTCTCCTTTCCGGTCAATTTTTTGTATTTTTCCATACAGTTTAATCCATCCCTACAGACGGTAGCCTGTTGCTTTGTTCCCCACTGGGGGAAGTTTAACCTTTCCCTTCCTCCCCACTTTCTAGTTTAAAATCTAGTTTATTTACCCTTTTCGTTAGAACATTGGTTCCAGCTTGTTCAGGTGGAAACCATCCCAGTGATACAAATCCCTCCTGTTCCAATACTGATGCCAGTGCCCCATGAGAAAAAATCCCTTTTTCGGACACCATTCCTTTAGCCACGCATTTACTTCCCTTATTCTCATGTCCCGAGGCCAATCTGCATGTGGCTTAGGCAGTAATCCAGAGATTATAACCCTTGAGGACCTGTTCCTTAACTTTGTTCCTAGCTCCTAATAATCCCTGAACAACTCCTCTTTCCTAGTCTTGCCTATGTTGTTTGTTCCGGCATGGACCACAACAACTGGATCCTCCCCCTCCTGCTCCAATATCCTTTCAAGCCGGTCAGAGATATCCCTTACCCTGGCACTGGGCAGGCAACACACCATGCGGGACTCTTGATCCTGCTTACAAAGAATACTATCTATTCCCCTGATTGTAGAATCCCCTACAACTACCACTTGTCTTTTTGTTCCCCCCTCTTAAATGGCCTCCCGTGCCATGGTGCAGTGGTCAGTTGGCTCGTCCTCCCTGCATCCCCTCTCCTCATCCACACAGGGAGCAAGTACCTGGTACCTTTTGGGCAAGGTCAAGAGCTGAGGCTCCTCTGTTTCTGACTGCAGGATCCCTCTACCTGCCTTGCGTACAGTCACCCCCTGCCGTTCCTGGCCACTGACCAAATTTGAAATACTTAATCTACCAGGTGTGACCGCCTCCTGAAACACAGTGTTCAGGTACTTCTCCCCCTCCTGGATGTGCCACAGTGTTTGAAGCTCAGATTCCAGCTTATCAACTGTGAGCTGACGTTTCTCGAACAACCAACACTTGCTGCAGATGTGGTCACTGCACTCCGCAATGGGATCAGCTAGCTCCCACATCATACAGCTACAACACATCACCTGTCCAGCCATTTCTATTTAGTTAATTACTTTATTGAGTTAATTAAATTTATTGATACTCGTTTTCTGTGTTCTTTTTCAAATTTAGTGCAGATTTCCCACCAGCCAATCAGGTCACAGCCTCCCTGTGATGTCACTCAAGTCTTCTTTTCCCAGCTCCCATGTGCCCTGAGCTCTGGTCGGTTTATACTCACTCTGTGCTGCTCCTCCACCCTCCAACAGTTTCCTGTCGACTACACTACGATCCCCAAGCTCTGGTCGGTTTATATTCACTCTGTGCTGCTCCACCACCCTCCGACAGCTTCCCGCCAACTAGGCCATGATCCCCGAGCCCTGGTCTGTTTGTACTCACTCTGTGCTGCTCCTCCACCCTCTGACAGCTCCCCACTGACTAGGCCATGATCCCTGAGCTCCGGAATGTTTATACTTACTCTATGCTGCTCCTCCACCCTCCGACAGCTTCCCACCAACTAGAACTGTTTTGATGAATAGTAAATGGACTAGAAACATTAACTCTGCTTTCTCCCCACAGAGGCTGCCAGACCTTCTGAATTTCTCCAGCACCTGAGATGACTTGACAGGATGGATGTAGAAAGGATGATTCCTCTTGTGTGGGAGAATGTACAACTAGAAGTCACTGTTTAAAAATAAGGGGTCAACCCATATAATACAGACATGAGGAGATTTATTTTCTCTCAGAAATTTGAAAGTTTTTTGAACTTTCTTCCTCTAAAGGTTCTGATCAAGGTCCCATCGTACTCTGAGATAATCTTCTTCACTGTACACTACACCAACTATTTTGGTGACATCTGCAAACTTACTAACCATACCCATAAATTCACAGCCAAATAATTTATACGAATGACAAAAAGCAGTGGACTGGGCACCGATCATTGTGGCACACCACTGGTTACAGGTCTCTAGTCCAAAAAGCAACCCTCCATCATTACCCTCCGTCTCCTGCCTTCAAGCCAAATTTGTATCCAATTGGCTAGCTCCCCCTGGATCCCATGTGATCTAACCATACTAACCAGTATCCCATGTGGAACCTTGTCAAATGATTTGCTGAATGGACTGCTTCAATATCTGAGGAGCTGCAAATGGTGCTGAAGGTTGCATAATCATCAGCAAACATCCCCAACTTTAACATTGCAGTGGTGAGAGGTCATTTTTGAAGCAGCTGGAAATGGTTGAGCCTAGGACATAGGCCTGGGGAACTCCTGTAGAGATGTCCTGGAGCTGAGTTAACTGACCTCCAATAGCCACAACCATCTTTCTTTATGACAGGTATGACACCAACCAGAGGTTATGAAGGTTCAGTGGGACCATGGAATAATTTGCTTGAATAGTAGTGCAGACCCAAAGGGCCCACTTCTGCTCCGAATTCATATGTGCATCATATAGCTTGCTCTGAGATGTCCTTAACCTACCTTTTAGGTTAATATCCCTCATTTTATAATTTCTTCTTTGGTCTGGTAGGTAAATGAGTTTTACAACCTTTCAGATTTGACTAAATGCTTTTGACTAATTTAGCTTTAACTTGCAAAATCCCTTTGCCCAGTTATTATGGCAGAGAGAGTAGACACCGTATCTCCAGCTGAGCCAGCTGTTTCTGACCCTCCGTTTCCAGTTGTTAACTAATTAAAAGGTTGGGGTTCATGTTGCTTTTGAAGTAATGATGTTTCCACTACATTTATCCTGGTTTCTACAGTTAAACTTTAGTTCCTAAAGCTCAAAGTTATATGCTAAAATACAAGAGCCATGAACTAGATATTCACAACATGTTTGTTTGCAAACTTTTACAATCAAGCAGGAGATTCATTATTTTCACTGGATTATTACTTCAGTAGATTTCCGTAAAGTTGAGCCTTTATGAGGCTATCCTTCCTGTAAAGGCCACTTATCTTTAAGGGTTTTTCTTGTTTGCTGCTTGAAACAACATCATCCAAAGGAAAATCATGAACCATTAAAAATTTAATGGGACGTCGACATGAGGATTTTGCCGAAGTGTTTGAGGCAACATCAACAATTCTTTTAATGTTAGAAACAGTATTTGTATTTTTGATGTACGTTTTGTTTTTATTCTTTTCACTTGGCAATTTTTTAGGGCCATCTTCTGTTTCTATGTGGCTTGGCGTAGAGGAGCTTTCTTGATAATTGTGATCAATCTCTGAAAAAGGTTGACAGTTCATTGCACCAAAGCCTGCATCTGTAAAGGTATTTTTGTTGATATCCTTTCCATCAGGGAAATAATCTTCTCTGATGAAAAGCTGGTTCATGTTGTTGGTTGTTTCCTTCACCAGACGACTACCCCATTGCTGCTCAGTATCATTACTTAAAATGCTTCCAGAAATCCTGTGTGAAGAAGTATTTGTAAAATGCATGTTTACTTTCTTAAGTTGACCCATCCTGTTTTTTTCTAGGTCATTCCCATTCCCTTGATCATTGTATAGTTTTGGGGCTGTTACATGCTTAGTACTGAACCAGGACAAGTGTGGTGACTCACTAAATTCTATTGGAAGAGTGACAGAGCATTGTTGCTTGCCATCCTTATAGCCTAGAGCCACATCTGTGAATTGTTGTAGTGGCCTTGTCTGAATGAAATCACACTTCCTGTTTTCTTGCCTTTCTGAAGTATTGTATTTTCTTTCATGAATATCATCTCTCAAACCAACTTGTTGGGTTGGACACAAGGTTGGTTTGGCTTCTGAGGTTCCTTTCTTCACAGCTGTCACAGTGCTGCTTGGATAGTTGGAAGAACTTGGTGTTGATGCATCACAATTTAAAAGCATTTCACTTGTGAGAGTTGGACCAAAGCCCTCGGCTTCTGTGCAGCTATCTGTAAAGCTCTGTGTTTTTAAAAAATGAGCATTTCTAACTTGCCTTCTGTCTCTCTGTTCTGCAGGGCAGTAAAGAGCTGTATCACTATGATAGAAGTTAGACTTGCAAGGTGACCGTTGGTCAGGTTTATTAGTGTTGTTCAAATGATCATAAGTAACCTTTCTTGAGGGTGACACAGGAATTGCAGACCCTGATGAACCAATTGGTTCAAGTTGCTGTAAAAGCTCAGCTTCAGTGTCGAAGAAAGATGAAAGACATTCAGTCCCAGGAGTAACACATCCACATTTCTCCGCATGGATTCTGACCCTTTCTTCGACTTCTGCTGGTAACTGTGGTTAATCAAAAGAATGGTCAGGCAATGCCACAATTGACAGTCCATGACAACAGACTATAGAATTTCTTGGAACCAGGGAAAGACCCTTTGCTGACCTCTCTACTGTCTGACTAGGGAAGGATGTCTGTATCATGCGTCAATGTAAACAATATGGATCTCTTGCTGAGTCTCTACCATTTTGCCTGTAGAAGGCAGATTATGGGGTGTTCCCAGATATGATTTTAAAAGGTACAGCTAGTCTTATGGGGTGAAACTTTGGTGCACACACATTCCATTTGAATATAGATGCCTCAATATGTCACATAGACAATGTGCTGATAAAGGTGACAAGTTCCAGTTGCTTTGTTTTATACAGTCATAGAGGCATAGAGCTGTACAGCATGGAAACGGACCCTTTGGTTCAACTCGTCCATGCCAACCAGATAACCTAAATAAATCTAGTCCCATTTGCCGGCATTTGGCCCATATCCCTCTAAACCCT